AATTCCATGTTCCCAAACTTGTGGTTACCGTTTGGAGTTGGCCACTTCTTCCAACATAACTGTGCATCAGTACACAAAGTAATGTCCCTAAATACTTCAGTATAGGTGAACTTAGGCTTGCACAGAGTCCTGGCATAAACCTGATAGAAAACCTTCGTCATGCATTATGAAGACTAAGAGCGAGATAGTCTTGACAAACTTTAGTCTATGACCTCCCACCTGTACCTCTAGAAGAAAGAACTAGAATTGCTATAAACATGGTTCTAAAGCTTGTTGACAGAAGAGCAGAAGTTCAAACTGTATGGACAGCATGGACCAACATAGCATTAAACCCTGTGGATGAAACGTTAATCAAGGCAGGTGTACGAATACTTTTGGTAAGGTATTGTATTTACACATAGTTTGGGCAAATCTTCTAAAGAGAAACATTAGAAACAGCACAAGGATTTAACATTTGGAAGCCACTTTTCTCCTTTTTCTATAAAAATAGACTCTATAATCACTGAGTCATCCAGTTAACTTAGTTAAATGCCAGAAGCACATCCTTCTCTATTTGAAAATTGTATTATTATTTCTCTCCAGGTTAATTTGTCAGTGTCCCTACAAACAATAGACGATTCAAATGTTATTTATTGAAGTGTGTTTGAGAAAATCCACAGAGTAAGCCTGCTTGTCTAGCAACTGAGCTCATAGAATCCGAGAAAAGAGTGTCTCATCCCTTCAGCCTCTGTTTTCCTTTTTCTCTCTCTCCTTCTCAGAAGCTGACGGATATCTAGCACTACGTCTTCACTCAGCCATGCACGGCTTGCCCCCTCCATTTCCCTGCTGGGAGGTCAGCTCTGTTCCGTGTCTGTTGAAAAGCTTTCACAACAGTCTCAGATTTAGCCATTCTGAGCCAACAGCAGGTAGAGTCACTGTTTCCTGGGTCTAAAATGTTCATTCTTACCCATGACTTTGAGGTGTTTTCTACGATTAGGAAAAATATGAAGAATAATGCCTTAAAGTGAAAGGCAGCTTTTGAAAATACAAACTAAATGTTAATATCATTTTCTGCCTGCTTTTTAACACATCAGCAGTATTTGAAATTCCATATCCTGAATTATTAGCTTGTAAATTCTGTCCTGCTTTTCAGTCTATGTAGGTAACAGCATAATTATTTGAGTGTGCAGCTACCTCTGGGATAAACATTTTGCAAATTTGAAAATGATAACCTCGATGAATGATATCTTTATTTTTTTTCTAATGTTTTTTAATAGGAAACAAATCAAAATTAACAGGCAAAGCACAGAACATTAAACCATTTCACCGCTTTGAGGTCTACATTTCCTGGCAGAAAAGGAAATGTAAAACATAAATTATAATGTTTATACGAGGCTGATTTGGGCTACTTTGTTCTAAAGCCTGTCTGAGAGTAATTGCTTCTGTGGCTCATTCACTTTATTGGATGTGTCTCCAGTGGCCCTATGTTCCATCTCCATGATGCCAGTTGCTTTGTTTGGCTCTACAGGGCACTAAATTGCAGCAAAGATATTAAAATGTGTACTGTGTAATTAAAAATGCCAATTTTAAGAGTGGGAGTTAATACGGCCGGGGAAGGAACATCACATACTACTGCAAGAGTCCTGAAAAGGCATTTACACATCAGGAAGAGCATTTTAGACAAAAATGGTGTGCACATGATAACGCTGCACTGCATAGTGAGTGTTTACTGTACACGCAGCATCTCTGCGACTTGCACAGTGAGCATTTCGTTCATGAGTCACCACTGTCTTCAGCCCCAGGCTCAGCATCCAGCCAGCTGAAGGAGGGGATTCATGTTTTATTTTAGTCCCTCTAATATGCCGTGAAGACATCATTATCTTGAACACGTTGTATTCCAGAGCCTTGGTTGTTTAAATGCCACAGAAGATGTGGATGACACAAACAGCTTCACCCCCATCACCGTCAGAGAGATCATTAGATGTGCAATTTAGCGTGCATCATTAGACGTGGCTTTTTGTTATTGCTAACCTCAGCAGTCTGTGGCTCAGCGCCCCGTCCTTGGTGGGAGAAGGATGTTATCTTTTATGTCATGCACACACCAGCGCTGCCCACAGGGAAGAGGTGAGTTTGCAAGAAACTTGGCTGATTGAGGGCACAGGGCACATGGAGGTCTGTACACAACTACAGTTGCTGTGAATATTAAAGATGTCTCGCAAGAGACTTTTTTTGTCAGCTTCCTCTCCCTTTTAGAAGAGTCATAAATAGCACACAGTGGGAGAGATCTTCCCTCAAGTGTTTCCATGCCATTAACATTTTTCTCTTTACCTTTTTTAAAACAACTGCTAAAATCATGTGACATATTCCACCAAGTAGCGGATCCAAACAAGGAAACTTGACTCAATGATATATATGCTTTGGCACTTCCTTTAAATGAATGTGATTGTGAAACTTGAATATTTAGTGTAAATGCAGCTCCAGCACTGAAAGAAAATGATCTGAACCAAGATATTGTCAAAAGATTGATGAGACAGCTACCTGGTTCCAAGCTGCACATTTGAAGCCTAAACATTAAACCTAATGAGTTAGTATATTTTATGATGTACACAAAAATGGATGCTTTATTTAATAATCTTGTTCCTCTAACCACATTGTCTCATAAAATCATCAAGGCCTTTACAGGAAGTGCTTTAACAGCACATGTGGAGAATTATATGTGGAAATACATTTCCACATGCCCTTAGTTCAGAAAATGTATTTCTGTTATACGAGAAAAGAAAACTGAAAAATAAACATTTACATCAGTTTTATACTGCAGCAAAAAAAGCATTTTAAGTCACCTTTACAAATTAAGTTTATATAAACCATCTATATCTTATTTATATAGTCATTTCAAAACAACCCAAGCATACAGTCAAGTTAAAATTGACTTAGAATTATGTTCCTTGACCTATGGTCAATTGATTTCAATACAGTTTTTTTGTATAGCGCCAATTAACAACACATCATCTCAAGGCACTTTACAGAGACTATTTTATCCAAAACATCCAGTCAGATTGCTTAAAAAATGTCTATCTCAGTAAAAGCTGCTGATTGCATTAAGTCATTGACTTTGCAGGACACGCTCATTCTGTATGAGTATAGCTAAAATAGATAGTGTTTGCCTGCATTGGTGTCAGTGAATCTGCAGCAATTCCTTAAACTGAGCTTGCATGCAGTGACAGTGGAGAGGAAAAACTCCTGTTTAACAGGAAGAAACCTCCACTAAAACTTGCCTCAGTATGAATAACCTGCTTATGCTGACTTGCCGTCTAGCAGAAAGAAGCACTGATCCATAAATACTTTTGATGTTAAAAAAGGTAACGGTAAACTAGTCCCATAGCTGTATAGAAAAGAAAAAGTTAAGCATAAGCGATCTGAGCCTGTTTTCATGCCAAAGCGATGAAAGAGATCACATCCAGTTATTCACAGTAAAAGATGAGCCCATAGCAATGTCTAGGAGAGAAACTGGGCTAAACAAACACAAACAAGGCCCAACTCTGTCCATCTTTAATCTAATCTGGCTGATATTTCTCTCCTTGATGGTCAAACAACCAAACAGAAATGGACCAGATTAAGTTACTATGATGAGAAAAAGCAAAGAGAACATAAAATTATGGCTTGAACAAGAAAATACCACAGAATGGTAGATAGAATGGTAAAAGTGGTCCCTATGTCCTCCAGCACTCTAAGCCTATACCAGCATAACTATGGCCATAACTTTCATTTAAATTTTTTAAATTTTACTTTTTAGTTTTAAGCCTAGACTTAGAAGTATAAAGGGTGTCTGCCTCACAGACTAAAACTTGTAGTTGGTTCCACAGGAGAGGAGCCTGATAACTAAAAGATCTGCCTCCCATTCTACTTTTAGAAATTCTTGCAACCACTAGTAAACCTGCAAATTGAGACATAAGGAATGATCAGATCTCTGATATAAGAGGAGGTTATTATTTAGGGCTTTATGCACAAGAAGAAGGATTATTCCGAATGCAAATAAAATTTCATATTATATTAAGTTTGTCTGTATATATCATATTAAGTTTGTTTGTATACTATGATTGAAACATGTATGTGATGTATCAGACAGTGAAACTAGATATAAGTTGGCACAAAATTAAAGTTTTATAATACTCAGAGGAACAATACTGTATATGACAGAGAATTCACATACAATATTTGTAGAAATTATACAATATAACACTTAAATGACTGAGCTGGAGAGAAACTATTCAAGAAACAAAGAAACTGCTTGTGGTCTAAAATATAAGACATGTATGAACTACAACCAAATCAGTTGATACAATGAAAATAAAAGGCATGAGTTTGCAAAATGCAGGTTCCAGATTATTGTTAAACAATTAGGATTTTTGCCAATTACTTTAAAAGCTATATTACGATTTTATAAAAGTTTACACATTTTATTTCTGGATGACACTAGGATGAAAGATTTCTGTGCTAAAACTAAAAATGTCTCTCTTCCAGCATCCTTTTTGATTTAAAAACATTCCTTAGTAAATCGGTCAGGCTGGGCTTTAGCTGTTTAAATACATGATAATAAACTGAAAATGTAAATCTAAGGTTTTTTGTTCATATATGTAAAGGTTAAGTGTCTTAAATTAAGAAAATCCAAAATATATACATTACTTTTTTGTTTCCTGTCTATAACAATAACATTTCTTCAACTTTAAGGACTGCTCAGTGTTGAAGTGAGCTTTATTAGAATTACCTAATTGCTTATTATTGCACTCTATTTGTAAAATGTGAAGTAAATAAGCAATAGGGTTTGAGTTGATATGTAAATGTTCTTATGGCATTTCACAATGGATGCCAAAATGTCATTCCTTGTCATCACCTCAATAAAGCCACCAAGTTCAACTTTGCGACCTCAGACTCACAGAGTCGTTGAGAGACGTATCCTAAGTCGCGCTCCCTAAAAATGGAGCAGCTACTGCATCAGTAACCTGATTATCCCAGCTGTCAGTCTGGATAAGGCCTGGCTTTGGGATCAGCACTTCCTCTGATTCTCACTTCAAGATAAAACTGGTCCTCCTGAAGACGAGAGGCAACATTCGAGCAGGACAGACACAGACACTTGAGAAAAGACATCACCAGGATTAAAGTCAGTGGGTAAGAAAATTGTTTTTGTTTTGTTTTTAACAGTGATGTCTTTTCTTCATTGGATTTTAGGCTATACTTTGGGGCTCATTCTACTGTTTCAATGCGTTTTTCTGTCTTAAAGCTGCATGCCACAGTGTTGATCTCATACTTTTGCCCTCTTGTTTTGGAGAATTAATTGTTGTCTGATGCTATTTTACTAAATAAGACTTGTGTTAGGATTATTTTTCAGCCTTATCATAGCTAAATAACTTGCCTTACAAGCACAGTTTGAAGATTATATGAGACGATGTACTGTAGGAGCCTTAGAAGAAGGCAGCCATTAACTGAGGGAAGGGAAACAGGATACAACTAGTGGGTGGGCCTTAGTTATTGTTACTGTGGACAACAAGTGTCTCCTTTATGTTTTCCTTGCCTATAAATGGGGGAGGTTCATAGCATGAGTCTTTCTCTGCAGGGAAATCAGTTTTGTGCCTGTTGTATTTATGTATTGTTCAACAAGCTCCCCATGATGCTGGATTAATCTTTGCATCGTCAGAACGGATTAAACTTATTTACACTTTGTAGGCATACAACAATGGCTGACTTCATGCCAGGTAATGCCAACAAGCTGGTCCAGAGTCCAAAGACAGACGTACAGGATGGGAGCAAAGTTTCAGCTGAGTCTGCATCAGCAGCAGTGATCAAAGCAAGACCTGCAGACCTGGGACTGATTCGAAGTTTGTCAAAGTCAGACTCTGACTTGTTGTCGTCTCCAGTCGGAGAGGAGGACGGAGGTCTGACAAACCGCAGTGGATCTGTGGCAAACTGCAGTTCTGGCCAACCATCAGTGGACCGCATGCCTTCCTATGCTTCTGAATGGGATGAGGTAATACACAAGTTCCTGGAGTGAGAAACAAATAGTAGAGTATAGATGTCAGTGGCAATTACGCTTTGTTTTGTGTTCCTGAATGAGACGAAAAGAGAGAATGATGAAAGAAGGAAGTAAGGATCAATGGGGGAAAAATGAACAAATGTTAGGTGCGGATTTCAGAAAAGGAAATTAGCAGCTAAGAGGAGGAGAGCAGAGGCAGTAGTGTGATCTGGAGTCCAGCTGAAGCAGCGATGGAGTAACTTTACCCAGGCTGTCGGCATGCCTGCAGGCGAGTGCTTGAATGCATGAATGGCTTGATCACTTGCACCGACCTCCCTGTAGCAGCCCTGGCATCCAAGACTAATTGGGCTTGTGCTGTCATACCACATCCATTCAGTACATGTCTCAGGGGCCAACCCACGCTTCCAGTGTCTCCTCCTGCTCTTTTCTGGCTCCTTTGCTCCGTCTTGCACCATCTAATTTTCAGTCCCCTGTCTTTGCACCCCTCCCAACCACCCATTCATGCCCTTCACACCTGTCCCACCTTTTTCATTGTCAATCATATTCACAAAACTTTTGACCTCTAATCTTTGAGCATTTGGATAACCAACTTCTTCCTTTAACAATATAAATGATTTAATGTAAGTTAACATTTTTGTTTCCAAAAACGTATATTTTTGAATATGAACACAGCAAAAAGAATATAGTCAAGAATAATGTCTGCTAAAATTAAGCTCCCTGTGCTAAGAACAGGAAACACTTTCTTAATGCTTCTTCTTGAAAAATGGTTTGATTTTGGGAGTGAACAATTAAAAGTTGTTCTTACAACATTTTTCTCCATCCTGAGCAGTGGATCATTGCAGCTGTATAAAAATAATCACAGTCTGGGAAAAAATGCTTTATAACCTGAGCGTTGTACGGCATTTTTTTTTAATAATGTGCTTTAATAAACATCTTAGATCTGCACCTATTTTTAGGTTAAATAACACATAGGTGAACTCCACCGACTGATTAGCAGAGTTAAGGTAGTTTGTTTCACTGGATTTTAAAAAGGAAAGAGAAAAATAGCATGCTACATCTTAGAGATTGAATTTGTTAAAAATGTGAAAATCATATATAATTTTCCTTCCTCTTAGCTATTATATACAAACACAAAAAATGAAAGGCAATGAGCAGAAGGAGCTAGGCATATCTATCAGTTGGCAAACAGTAAAATAATAGAAAGTCTTTGACTCATATATTCACAATTCTAAAAATTATTTAATGAGCTTAGCAATTTCGTTCTTATATGAGGCCAGAATTTTCCTCACTGTTATGGAAAACATGTCGCTCCAATACTGAAGGATGATGACAAAGTTGGTTGTGTTTATTAAGATGTAATCAGCAGCCAAGGCTGTTCCAGAGATCCACATTAAAGTGTAACCAAAGGTTTTTCTTATTTTACTATGTGCCATCATTTACTGTACAGGTGCTGTCCCATTTAGACAAGCTGAAAAAAATTCCTTCACACTTTCAGTTAAGAAAACAAAGAGCTACGATCTTAGACGCAGTGGAGAAATACACAATTACACCCTCTTTAAAAAGCAACGCCATATGCAGCATATTTTGTTCATGTTTACACTGAAAATTCCTTTAATCTCAAAGTAACCTTACTAGAACAGCGAATAATTCATATTCAGACAAATTCACTTCAATCCCATCCTATTATGCAGTCAGATTCAGATTTAATGTAATCTTCATAGAGCTTAAAATAAGTCCAAGTATTAAAAAAAACAGACTTATTTTAAACCTGCTACTTTGTAAAAAGCATTCTAGTAAAGGAAACCATGATGTTTGCATTAAGTTCTGACTTCTAATTGATTTCTCCCTGGATCAGATTATGATCTATATCTGTTCATGATTTTACGCCTAAACGTATGTTATCTTGATCTGAGAACTGCTTTGCACACAAAGGCAGCCCTGACCACATGCAGCAGATTTGTACAATCTCACTCTTAAAACTGTGTCACCACAGAAAGCAGAGAAAACGCTTAACTTCTGCTTGTATTTATGTTTTTCCTTCTCTGTCATCTCCCATGCTCGTTTCCTGCTCTCTGCTCCAACCCTTTGCTCTCTGACACACACTGTTTGTTCAGGCCGTTCTGGGTGGGGTGTCCTGTTCTCAAGGGCATCCTGTTTTAGAGCTGCATCAGATGTCTTTTTCTTTCCCCTCAACATCTCAAAGAATTTGTTTTGGTAGCCAATGTGGATGTAGGGAGGCGACATATGTTGCCTGCATGACTCCTCCAAGTTAGTTGCAGGCACTTTGTTAAGCTTATATTAAAGGACAAATGGCCATGAGAATGATCTGTCATGAAAATTATGTCTATTTTAGTGTTTCTTTTTTCTTCAGAGTCAGAACCTTTCCTCTGTTTTTAGTAAAAATGGCTTACAGGTCTTTGGTCAAAGCTTCTCCCAATAGTTTGCTTGGTCTTTGGTCAATTCCTTCTGAGGGATTGCCTTCAAGTCAATGAGTCGATGCAATCAACTGGTATTCCTTAGCTAGAAAACTTTGAACCAATCTGTCTGTATGATCTGGTTGAATGGTAAAGTGCCTTGAGATGAAGTGTGTTGTGAATTAATAAACTGAATTAACAGAAAATATCCATTTTGTGGTCAGGTTTGTGGGATGCCTTTTCTACACACAACTTTTCAGCTCTTCCTCATAATGCTATTAACTGTCAAACCCATTCTTTTCTAATTAAATTCTCTTCAGACCCTGAATCATATCATGCACAGAGTGATTATACGTTTTCCGTCACTTGGTAGTATTTGCTCCTCCTGAGCATTTGCTGACAGTAGATATTCATTTGCATTGCAATCCCTCACATTGAAAATGTATGCAGCCATAGGGGAGACTAAAAAGTCCCTTTTAACATGGATCCAGCATTACCAGGCTAAGGCCGACTGGATGTTAGCCTGGAGGATAAATTAGTTATGTTTCCCAATGCTGTAAACATTTGTATAATAAATACATTTAAACAAAAAGGCAAACAAAACAAAGCAGCAGGCAAACAAAGCTGCAGGTGTGTCTCGGACCATGGATCTCAAAGGGAAAAAAGGAAGATAGCTGATGAGAAAAGAGGATTCAAATAGACCGAATCATTTGCTTTCCTCACCAATGCGGAAGGATTGCCTGCATTTTTGCTTTGTAATGAGAAGTTGTCAAAAAATAAAAAGGAAAATTGGAAAAGGCATTTCCAGGGAAGGCTAAATATGCAGCCGACCACCAAGCTGGGAGTGAGAGAAAAAGTGTGATTACAGAACTTCTGGATAAATTAGAGGAGCGCAAAGATAGATTTAAGAAGTGGATTACATCTCCAAACTCCTTTACTGCTGCTAGTTTTGTTGCAAGCATGAAAACCGTCTACAGATCTAACAGGTAGTGCTCAGATCCAGGGATGTCAACTTTCTTCCATTTTTTTCCTAAATCCTAAAAATATAAATCACACCAAGTAACGCTGGTGACGGAGGATGTGGGATTTCAGGGTTAGAGAGCACAGCTCTGATGGATGTTAGTTCCTGCTTGGTTCCTCATTACTCAATCAACTCCTCCCAACAGAAACATGTCCACCATAGAAAGACTTCTTTATCGTGTTTTTATAATTTCATCAATGCAACAAAATTTAAATTTTTTTAAACAGTGCGGTGACAGGCGTTGAAGCGGCGTACAATGGGAGTTTTCACTGCTCTTTACTCACCTCATGCTACTATGTGACATTTGGTCCAGGATAAACATTTAATCATGAATGCTTATTATATATTTAAGACCACATAGTCATTTTCTATAGTGGGATTTTGCATTTAAAGCCCGTGTTACCATACAAGGCATATATAAGACATTTCTGCGACTCCAGACAGTTTTATTTTTTGTTTTTTTTTGGTCACATATGGCCCTTTGAGCAATTTGGGTTGCCGACCCCTGCCTTAGACATTAGTAAACCATGCTAAACTACAGGAAAATAGACGACAGATTATAAATATCACATCACATACTCTGTTTTTACCTATTGTTAAGTAATTATAATAATAAATATGTTTGTGACGGATAAACAGACAGTTTTATTTTTTTACGTCGACAGTACACGCACAACTGTAAAAAAGTATTTGTAAAACTACATCCACTTATTCTTAACACTCATTATGTAGAAAATGATATTTGGATTGCTCTACTAGTCTTTGATCATTTAAAACATTAACATAAATGAACGTCAACTAAATATGATTGAAACAGGGTTTATATTTAAAAAAAAATACACGTGGCTAACAACAGAACTACTATACGGAATACAACCTATCAATCAGTAAGCTTTTTCAAAATAGTTGTGCATTTTGTGAAATAATTACCAAAAGTACCTGTCACGGATCTTCCTGTATTTTGATCTGGCCACCAAGCACTTCAACCTAACTGGATGCATTAATAACCTAAATTTCTTCGCCTTCCGCTGCCAGGACTCTCTGCTCTCTATGCCTCTGAATCTTACTGCCATATTATTTATGTACTTTTTTCTTGTTCATTTCTCATTTAATAAATTCTAAGCCCTAAAAAAACATGGAAAATCCTATGACTTGCAGATCAGTGGCTGCATCAGTGCCCTTCATAATTTCTTTTTCTTTAGTTTTCAGCTCAGAGTACGATCAGAATAAAATTAAATGGTTCAGACCTTTTTGATTTAAAGATTTACTGTATGAAATTTCACATTAGTATTTGCAAGTTCAGTTTTGTATGAGCTTAAAGAAACGTTTTTGATAGGATCACTTTTGTCAAGTAAACTGCTTAAAAAATATAAAAAAAAAACTCCCATTATCAGTTTCACTTAAACTCTTTTAGAAATAATGTTTCTTTCCAGAGCTTTGATGGTTCCCTGCTTGACCATTGCTTATCTAATTCTGAGGACCAATGGTTTCTGTCACTATCTATCACTCTACCTCCAACTGGTTGATCTTATTTGGATCAGCGAATAAGCGCAGTTAGA